GGACTTTGGCCCACTCCCTGTCCACCCAGTCGAGCTTGAACTCCTGCTTCTGGGGCCGCACCTTGATCGCGTCCCACTTCTTCCTCTCCTCGGGCTCTGCCTTCAAACACTTCCTGAACTTGCTATCGATGGCCGTGCGCGCCGCGACGTTGCGCGTGCGAAAGGCGTTCTCCAACGTTTTGTGCTTGTCACTCGCGTCGCCGCCTAGCTCGAACAAACAATCGTCCATCATCCAAGTGGACCCGCATGCGAACGCAACCGCTGGGGCACTCGGTGGAGCCACAAAACGCGCGAGGAGCGTGCCGAAATTAGAGCGCAATCGCATGCGAACGCAGCCGCTGGAGCCTTCGGCAGAGCTCCCTCTGGGGCCACGAGGCGTGTGAGGGGTGTGGCGGGCTTGAAGTGGAACCGCATGCGAGCGCAGCCGCTGGGGCCTTCGGTGGAGCTCCCTATGGTGCCACGAAGCCTGTGAGGGGTGGGCTGGCAGGGGGGGTGGAGCCGCATGCGGGCGCAGCCACTGGGGCCTTCGGCGGGGCTCCCCCATGGGGCCACGAAGCGCGTGAAGGGTGTGTCGAAATGTGGGCGGGGCCGCGTGCGAACGCAGCCGCTGCGGTCTTCGGAGGAGCCCCCTTACGGGGCCGCGAAACGTGTGGAGTGCACCGCAATTGGGGTGGTAACGATGCGAACGCACCCACTGGGGCTTTCGGTGGAGCCCCCATACGGGGCCACGAAACGCGCGGGGAGTGCACCGCAATTGGGGGGGGGGGGGGGAATGCGTGCCAACGCATGCACTGGGGCCTTCGGCTGACCTCCTCACGGGGCCACAAGACGCACGAGGGGCGCGCCGACATGGGCGCGGGGGGGATGGAGGAGCAGGGAGGGGGGTCGCGGGGCGCCGTCACATCAAAACTACGACCCGACTCCACAGGATGGTTGGTGACCAACTGCAATCCTCCTTCCTCCTTCCCCTCCCTCTCCCCCTTTCCACCCCTCCCCCCTCTTTTTCTGTTGCTGGGTTAGCGCCGAGGGGTGGCCTCGGGCGCCGAAGGGCGAAGAGAAAACCAATCCTCCTCTAAAACTGGCGTCGGTTCTCTCGGGCCCGATCGCCTGCGTCGTCGTCCTCGGCGGCCGCTGCGAGCTCCTTCGCCTCAGCCGCGAGGTCGGCCAGATTCTGGCTGAGGCGTTGCATCCCGAAGCTGTTGAGGAGGCCGTTCTCGAACGGGTTCTCGGGGAGGTGCTTGCGCGACTCGAAGGCTGGGTGGCGCGGGAGAGCCTGCTGCGACGGCGGCGGCTTGTCCATGCCGAGGCTGCCGACCTGCATGGGCTCCAGTCCGATCGCGGCGGCGTCAGCCTTCTTGAAGCCCATCTGGGCTGGGTCAGCTGCCGTCATGCCGAGGGCGGCCGGGTCCGCCTGCGACAAACCCAGAGCCTGCGGGTCGAATTGCATGGCGCCGAGGGCGGCCGAGCTGACCGTCGCCTTCGTCTCCGCGACGATCGGCCCAGAGTTCTCCTGGAAACTCACGGCCTCGACGGCGATGGCAGCGGGTCTGCAGTGCTCGCTGCGCGCCCGCAGGAGGTCCTCCTGCGCTTGGCGGGAGGGGCAGGGCGAGGAGAGGGAGGGGGTTAGCCGGATCGGCGAAGCATTGCCAACGCGCCAGATCGACGAAGAAGGAGTGAAGAAGGGCTGATCCCAAATCGCCCGAACCGCGTGCAGCTGCGAGCACCGCGAGGGATATGAGACGAAGGGAGAGGGGCGCGCACGCTCCGAGTAGCCTGCGCGCAGGGAGGAACGAACGCAACACGAACCCCAGCAGATATGGCCCCCTTCCCCCGAAATGGCCTCTGACCTTCCTGCCCCGCACCGTGGCCAAAGTTGGCGACGACCCCCCCCCCCCCCCCCCCCCCCCCCCCCCCCCCCCCCCCCCCCCCCCCCCTCCCTCCTGGAAAGGAGGCCCCAGACCCTTCGCAGCATTCGGTGGGGGGCCCCCGCGGCGCCGCGAACCGTGTGAGGGATGCTCAGGTATGAAAATGGAATAGCATGCGAACCCTACCACTGAGGCGTTCGGCGGGGCTCCCTATGGGCGCGCGAGCCGTGTGAGGGGTGCGCCGAAATGAAGGCGGACCTTCATGCGAAACCTGCAACTGAATCATTCGGCGCGGCTTCCGTTGGGGCCACGAACCGTGCAAAGGGGTGCGCCAGGATGAGGGCGAAGCTGCACGCGAACCCTGCCAATGAGGACGTCGGTGGAACTCACGATGGGGCCACGAGCCGCGAGAGAGAGAAAGAGAGAAAGGGAGAGAGAGAGAGAGAGAGAGAGAGAGAGAGAGAGAGAGAGAGAGAGAGAGAGGGGCACCGAAACTGCACGGAATTGCATGCGAAACCTGCCGTTGAGGCTTTCCGTGGAACTCCTCATGGGTCCACGAGCCGTGTGAAGTGCTCGCCTAAATGAGGGCTGCATTGCATGCGACGCTTGCCACTGAGGCCTTCGATGGAACCCCCATGGGCCCGCGCGCCGTGTGAGGAACGCTCCGACATGATGATGGAACTGCATGCGGGCCCTGCCACTGAGGCATTCGGTGGGGTTCCATATGGGGCCACGAACCGCCCGAGGGGTGCGCCGACATTGAAGTGGAATTGCATGCGAACCCTGCCACTGAATCATTCGGTGAAGCTTGCTACGGGGCCACAAACTGTGTGAAGGGTTCGACGACATGAGGCTGGGATTGCATGTGAACCTTGCCACTGACGAATTCGGTGGGTGGTAGGCGCGAAGACGAGCGCGTGGAATTGCATGCCGGTGGGGCTCCCTATGGGGCCGATGGTGATTGCGATGGCGGTGGCGGGTTTGATTCTGATGTTGATGTTGATGATGAAGTTATGATGATGGCGATGATGGTGATGATGATGATGATGTTGCTGGCGATGTTCATGTTGATGATGGTCACGATGATGGTGATGATGATTGCCCCAATGGTGATGACGATGGTGATTGCGATGGCGGTGGCGGGTTTGATTCTGATGTTGATGTTGATGATGAAGTTATGATGATGGCGATGATGGTGATGATGATGATGATGTTGCTGGCGATGTTCATGTTGATGAGTTGGTGGTGATAAAAATGATGACGATGATGATGATGATGGTGGTTGTGGTGACGCTGATGCTGATGATGGCGATGATGATGATGATGGCGATGGGGGGAGGGAGAAAGGGGGAGTGGTAGGGGGGGGAAAGCGGGGCGCTGTCTTTTTCAAAACGGGGACCCAACGCCACACGACGGTTGGAAATATCTCGCTTTGACCAACGATCGAGGGCGGAGGGAGGGCGACCAGGCGAAGTGCAGCTGAGGCGGGAGGCTGGAGGGGGAGGGGTAAGAAGAAAACGATCGCGACGACGGACACAGGCTCGCCCCCTCGCTCCTCCGTCGGGGCCATGCCAGTCGGGCAGCTATCCCTCATGAGCGTCTGGGGCTCGCTCTCTCAGATCTCGGGCTGGTTGCCATTGGGGTACTTCATCGCCTGGTCGAGATCCGTGGAGTCGTGCTTGTCCTGGCGGAGCGGCGCGGGGGCATTCGAGAGACCGATGAAGGGGGCGGTGTTCGAATTTGAATAGAACTCCAACACAGCGCCCAGTGCTCAGCGGGAAGCCGCGCGACACCCAGTACTCAGCGAGAAGCCGCTGAGTACTGGACTGGGTGGAGACGGGGGCCGCTGAGCATTGGGCGCTGCGCTGGGGGCGGACGTCGCTGAATGCTCGGCCCCAGGCAGCAAGAAGAACGCGATCATAAGGGCGAGGGCAACGAAGATGACGAGGTTGGAGCGGCGCTGAGTCGGTGGAGGAGCGACGAGAGATGAGGCATGGGAAGAGAGGATGATATTCGGGATGAGTTCGGGGTGAGATTTGGGACGAGACGGTAGCGCGGCAGAGAGGAGGAGGGGGCGGGGGAGGATGAGGACTTGGAGGAGAGATGAGGATGAGGATGAGGATGACTTGGAGGAGGGATGAGGACGAGGATGAGGAGGACTTGGAGGAGGGATGAGATACGACGAAGATCCAGAGATAGGTCGCACTCTCTCGAATCCCCCTGTCGTGACTCGAGGCTCTGCGTTCAACTTGCCGCGCCGCGGGGCGGCGTCGGCCCGTCCGCCCTCCGCGGGGCGTCGGCCTGCGGTCGCCCTCCACGGGCGAGACGGCGTCGCGCTCGTCGTCGCCATCCACGGGCTAGTCCTCCTCGTCGCTGAGCTCGATGGCGCGCTGCTGCGCCTTCTCCAGCTCGGTCATGAGGGGGGGGGCGCCTCCACGTCGCGGAACCTCGCCTGCTTCTCCCCCGACTTGATCTTGTTTTCCAAGTCGACCATCACCTTGGCCTTGGGCGTGGACGGCTTTGCATCCACCTCGTCTCCGTCGGCTGCCATCTGGAGATCGGCTGCTTTCGCCGCGGCCGGCCTCTTGACCGTCGGCTTCGGCGCCGCCTTCTTCTTCTTCTCGGGCTGCTCAGCGTCGCCACCCGCCAGCGAGCGCTTGCCGCCTGGGGCCGCGGCTGTGGGGGCTGCCGGCTTCGAGAGGTCGTCATCCTCCTCGTCCTCGCCGTCGCCGTTGCCGATGTCTGGCCCCGCTGGCGCCAATGCCCCGTCTCGAGGCGTCATCGGTGCAAAGTTGGTGCCAGGGGGTGGGGGCGGGGGCGGGGGTGGGGGTGGGGGTGGGTGTGGGCGTGGGTGTGGGGGTGTTGGTGTGGGTGTGGGCGTGGGTGCTATAGTTTTTGCGTCGTTCATCCCCCCGTCCTCGTTTTTTGTTTCCAGGCCGATTTGGAAACAAAGACTCCCAGGGGAAAAAACTTCTCCCCCCCTCCTTCCTCATCCATCTGCCATTCGACCAAGTTTGCACCGCTTCGCCTGAGCCTCCCTGCCTGGCCTCGCTCTCGGCCGTGCGGCGCTGCATCGCCAGCCTCCACTTCTTCACGAGCTCGAGCTTGTTCGCGTTGGCCCCCCCCCCCCTTGGCGGTGATCTCCTTCGTCGCGAACTTGTCCACCACGGCGATCTTCATCTGCTCGATCGCCTCCTCCTCAGTAGCGAAAAGGCCCGAATTCACCTGTGTCTGCTGCTCCTTCTCGCCCGACTTCCACGTGCGCATCGCCTGCGCGAGGCCGTGGGCGCTCCTGTCCTTCGCCATGCGCGTCCAAATAGTGCTGTCCTCCAGCTCCACTCGGGGCAACTTGGCTGGCGAGGTCTTGTTGTTGCCTTTCTTGTTGCCGTCGTCCTTCGCGCGCATGTGCTCGGGGTACTTCCACGTCGATCCGTCGGTCCACTTCGCCGTGTACCAGCCGTCGGCGGGGCCGTCCACGATCTCTGGAGGCATCTCGGCCTCTGTGCCCCGAGCAACCCGCACTGCGCACCCCTTGTACTCGCTGAACTTATAGCTGAACCACTCGGGGTCATCTGCCGCTGCCGCGCGGCTCTCGAAGTCGCACCCGTGCTCGACGAGCATCTCTTTGAACCACTTCGGAAACGTGCGGCGTTACCGCAATGAACCACAATGCTTTGCGAACGACCTCAACTTCGTCGACTGCTCCTCCGCGTAAGTGCGCAGCGAAGTGCCTGGAAAATCCCACCCGAGTGTTTTGACGATCGATGTCACCGCATGCTTCGTGGCCTTCTTCCCCGGCGAAAAATTCGGGGCGACCTCGTCGCGGATGGTGACGCCGAGCGGGACCAGGGGCTTGATCATGGTCTGGTCTGCCTTGGACGGGTGTTTCGCAAGGTCGCTCCTGCGCTGCAGCCAGTCGGGCTTCGTGAAGAAAGGGAGGAACACTTCGTTCATCAGCTCCGCGTCCGAGCAGGCGCACCCCCTGCTGACGCTGTCCTCGTTCTCATCGTCGCGCTCCTCCGCCGCCGTCGGCGTCTCCGCCATCTCCTGGACTCTGCGCGGCGCGAATGGGCGGAACCAGATGCCCGTGAACTTGCGGGCTCAGCCCCGAAAAGGCTCGAGCACAAAAAGCTTACAAACAACTCAGCATTGTTGAATTCTTTCGGCGGGCCCCCCTGGGCGCGCGCGAACGCCGCCGCCAGGGCCTTCGGTGGGGCCCCCCATGGGGCCGCGAGGCGCGTGAGCGGTGTGCCGAATTGGCGAAGGAAGCGCACAGGAACGCAGCCGCTGGGGCCGTCGGGGCGCGCCGAAATAAGGGTGGAACCGCGTGCGAACGCAGCCATTGGGGCCTTCGGCTGAGCTACATATGGGGCCACGAACCGCGCAGGGGGAAGCGCCAAACATGGATGTGGAACCGCATGCGAACGCAGCCAATGGAGGCCTTCGGTGGAGCCCCTTATGGGCCAGCAAAAAGTGTGAGGAGTGCGCCGAAGTGGGCATGGGACCGCATGCGAACGCAGCCGCAGCGGGCTTCGGC